TCTTTTTTTTCTTTTTTTTTTATTCCAACATGTAATCACCAGACGTGGAGACGGCACACTCAAGTTTTTTCAACTTATATCAATGCCACCACCAACACAGGGGACAAATACATGACAGGACAATACTCATTTACACCTGAGCTAAATGAGGAAAAAGTCGTGTTAAGTGCCTTTCCCAAGGGCACAAGATCGGTGGCATGTCATCTTTGACTGCGAAGGACAGAACCAAAAGGCGGAACTGATGACAAGATGATTGGATTTTATTTTGACGTGTCTCGGGGGAACATGTGACGTGGGCGCGGATTGAATTACCCCCAAATATGGCATGTGGGACAGCCGCGTTGGCGCGCTTGACGTCACGGCGCGTCCGCTGGCGGTTCGGTCGTCAGAACGGCGGAAGTCAGGCAAAAATAAAGAAAGTAGCGGGATGATCAAAAGATGTCAACACTGACGGCCCGGAAATGCCTCTTCGGGCTAATTAGTTCAGACCCACTGGGTGCACAATGTTGCCAAAACAACCGACAAAACAACGAAAAACAAGGTTGTGAATAAGACAAAAACGATTAATTATAAATAGATTTGTGTTAAATTGTGTAACGTTACATTTTTAATTGTTGCTGTTATTGTTTCTGACTTGCTTTTTGAACAACAACAGTGAAAATTTGAGAAATTAAACAACGTGTAACATGGTGCACCAAAAACAGATACTCATTCACAAGCAACTAGCTATAGATCTGATTTTGGAAACGGTCAGACGTTTCAGGTAGCATCCACTACCTTTCGTCTGTGACACTGGAGAGTTGTCAGAAAGGCCGGTTTATAAGTACATGTACGAACTATTGATTGATGTGCAAATATAACAAGTGTAACATGATGTTTTTGTCCGTGCAATGGCCGTCGTTTCTGACCTGTTTTTATTTTTTCTTGTCCCTCCAGACGGCAACATGCACAGCATAGAGATCTTGGACACGGGCGGCACGCACCAGTTCCCCGCCATGCAGGAGTTAAACATCAAGACCGCCCACGGATTCATCATTGTCTACTCCATCGACGACGCAGAGTCCTTCAAGGAGGCGCACAAACTGCGCAAGCTCGTCGTGAATGTCAAAGGTCAGTATAATCACGTGACTCTGGTCATTTTCTCATTGACATTGACCCTGAAGGAAGTTGTTATTCTTAAGAGTTTGCTCAGTGCATGGCCATGCACATGGACCTATTAATGCTCACTGAAGAAGCATCTTTTCTCCCTATTAAAGTCACAAACATTGAGTTTACTAATAGACAAGCTTCCGCCATGTTGTTTGACCTTTTCGTTCCTCGAACTGTGGCCGCCATGTTGTTTGACCTTGTGACTAACCTTACCGTGGTTGTTTTCCCGCGCAGGTACCGAGAACATCCCGCTGGTGATGGTCGGGAACAAGTCGGACCTGGCGGTGGACAGGGAGGTGCAGAAGGACGAGGCCGTCACGGCGGCCAGAGAAGAGTGGCGATGCCCCTTCCTGGAGACCAGCGCCAAGTACAACCGGAACGTCTACGACATTTTCCTCGCCCTCTTGAACAGCGCGGAAACGTGCGAAAACAGAGACTCGAAAAATCAGAAATCCTCCTCAGAGAAGAGAAGGTCGAGCGCGACTAGGACAATCAGTTCCCTAAAGAAAGCCGCCAAGACCCAGAGGGAGTCATGCTGCATCTTGTAGCTGGATAATAAAGCCTTGAAGACTCTGACACGAAAGACTTTGTACATTTCTAAGGATGTTATATTTTGTACCGAGTGTGCCACGTCTGTTCAAAAGTGCCGTAAGATATTTTGACTGCCCTCAGTGTTCTGGGCCAACTGGCTAGATGTATGAACCGTGTCTAATCTCTCTTAGACTAATTCTTATCCTGAATGGGTTAGTGATAGGGTCAGACACAGTTCTGGATAGTCTCTATCGTATCCAGAACCGTGCCTATCCATTTCTATGCCTGTGAGGTTAGGGTTAGGATCAGGCATGGTTCTGGATAGTCTCCGCGTATCCAAGAACGTAGATTTGCCCCAGGCACGCTCTGGATACGCGTGAACTGTTTATCCAGACCCGTGCCTGAGCTTGGTTCTGGATACAACAGGGTTAAAATCAAACATTTTGACTAATATTTAGTCATTTAAAAGTAAGACTTTGTACTACTACAGGCGCGTCATGGCGCGACAAAGACGAAATTCATGAATATGTCTATTTTGTACTTTAAAAGTGTTCGTCAAAAATGTCCATGTGCTAAAGACAACAATGAGAGCACATTATGCTTCTCTGAATTTTGTTGTGAAAACGACTGAAGAGATCACTATACTCTTATTATTGCATAAAGATTAATTTAAAGTTTGTATATATAGTTATACTACGATGAAATCTAGTGGATACTAGCTGAAACGTCTGACCGTTTCCAAAATCATATCCAGTTGCTTGAGTAACTGCTTTTTGGCGTATTGTATTACCTGGATGTCTAACCTTCATCGACGTACGATGAAATCGTTTCGTTTTATAAGGTGATATTTATGAAGATGTGGAACAGTCAAGTCTGTTTTATCCGTGAACACGACATGTTCTTAACGCTTGTGGAACTATTAAACTGTCATCACATTAAAAGTCTGTTGCTTCGTTTTTGTTTGCCCTGCCATTAGTGTAATATGATTATGTATTTCCTATTTGAAAATGATAATGCACGTGCACGTTACTTTTGCCTTCCGCAGAAAATTCAAAACAAAGGGTATCATGACACATACCTCTGCCAATTATCATATTAACTATGTGAACTAAGTGAATCTACATTTCTAATGATGCACGCTCCCACATACAATGCATGTCACAAGTATGAATTTTCTATCATTTACCACTAGGATATCATGAATAAATAAATGAATGAATGAAAGAATGGTTTGTTCAAATAATAAAATCAATAATTAAAACCACACAGTAGATGACGTTCCATTGCATCACTGAATTGAGGCATGATTCACAGCATTTCCTAGTCATTCCTGCAAATAAGACCCTAATTAGCATAATCTATAGGCTTGGGACGGCAGAACTCTCCCATGTAGAACTACTGCAGTCAACCCTCAATTTATTTCCTGCTGCCAGAGTAAAATATTATCTAAGATTTCTACCAGCTAGAGCTCAAGTAGCTAAGACTTATTTTAACGCCTACCACTTACACATAATGAGAAGATAAAATAACGAAAATGGATCCAATATAAAAGATATACAGATAATGATTATACATGATAAAAAGGTATTTTAAGAGACGTGAAACGTGCTTGTGCAATCTACAGTGCGTTGAGTCTGCAGTGAATTTTGACAGGACTATCGTTCCTCATCTCCAAGCAGATTCCTTTCGGTGGCAAAAGACAGTATCAAATTGGCCAGGCAGTATCCATTAGCCAGAGAAGGTCGCTGGCCACAGAAGTTGATGGGAGTAGCGACAAAACAAACGACCATAACTGTTATGTAAAAAGCTAACGATCATTTCCCACAACCTCTGCTTGGAGAGTATATCGTACCCAGGTCCGTGCTGTACGAGTGACCTCTGTGAATCTCCTCAGGGGCTATTCGATCAGCCCCCAAGACTCGCGCCATTGACGTCATCATCGGCCTGCGATGGCCAGAAAAGTCAGAACCGTGCCTGATCCTGACCCTAACCCAGTCATGCATAGAAATGGATAAGCGCTTAGGGACGGTTCTGGGTACGATATTTTAGGGCGGCAGGCAGGTATGGCGTCATCAGCGCTGATAAAAAAACATGAGCAAAAACATTTTCTATTCCACCAAAATGATTTGGAGGAAGTGTAAAATAAAGTAAGGTTACCCGCGCGCGTTTCCTTTATTCGGTAAACCACCGTTGAGTCCTTCCGGGCCAGGCTAGAGGCCTGCCCGCCTTAGACCAAGGCCTCCCCCCCCCCTAAAGTGCCCCAACAGGGGCTATATGGGGGTGTAGCCGGGGCTTGTATAACATATTAGAGCCCCGGCAAAGATGAAGATGAAGATGAAGTATACAACAACACGATACAAGGTGAAACACCAGGCAGCAATTGCTGGGGTCGTGGACGGGTGAATCACATGCTAAAAAATGTAATCTATAAACCACTAAATGTAAAGCAATCCATATAACATCCGTGTCCATAATATCACCAGGGTCCATAATATCGCCACCTTGAGAATAGTGTGCTTTAAGATATTTTTACTGCAACATACTGTTGGTATGCACTCCTGCACACATCAAATGTACATACCTAGGGTATGTTGGAGTAAAAATATCTTTGAGCGCACTTTTTCTCAAGGTGGCGATATTATGGACTATGGTGATATTATGGACACAGATGTACGTTACCTCATCGCTACCCACATTTGAGTGCCGCGTACGAGTGCGCTACGTATGCATATGGGGAGGTGTTAAACAGACATGACAAAGAATGATAATTCTCGTATCAAATATTACACCAGACGGAGAGTTCTAACCGGATACAACAAAATGGATTCGTGCAACTTCTTCTGCTTTCCTGTTTGTATATGAAACGCCTCAAAACAACAACTTTTCCTGAACTTTCTAGGCAAGGTTACAAGCGTTACCACATCAATTGCCGATTCCTCGGTTCTTCTGGCACATGCCAGAAAATAAGGTCGGTGATTCCTGAGCTGATCGCAGGAGGGCGTTTCTAACTACACATCAACATGCAGCACAGTAAACGAGGCTGAGCGTTTCGGAACTTTTGTTTTTCGATATACTTGTCATGTCAAGGAAAATCTGACGAATCATTCTAGAACACATTTTCCTGCGAGTTCATAGGAATATCGTTCTGCGAACTCTGCCCTTTCGAACAAACTCGTTACTTCACAACCATTTGAACCACTTATCTCAACTAAACCATTGAACAACAGGCTAAACCATCGAAGTACAGGCTAAACCATTGAACAACAAGGTAAACCATTTAAAAACAGGCTCAACCATCGAAACACAGCTAAGGCTACGCCATGGATGACCGTCTAGCCGCCAGGATGTTGCAGGCGCTCGGACTCGGCAGGCTGGTGAGGGGACCCGGCCCCAGCCCGAGCCCCAGCCCCACGGGACGCCGCCGCCGAAGGACAAGGTAACAGTTTGTTTAAAGTTAAAACTTTTGGTCCAACACAAAAAATTCTCTCACCTAGAGCTTTCGACCAGTCACTCTGGTCTTCCTCAGTAGACTTACCCAGTGAAGCTTGTCATGTGGCTTCTTTGAAGTGTGACGTCAACACTGGGTCAAAGGTATCTGGTAGACGATGTCGGCCCCATCGCAATTCATGATAGTTTGTTTGTTTGTTTGTTTGTTTGTTTGTTTGTTTGTTTGTTTGTTTCCCATAACCGGCAAACCCCTTTATAGGCGTAACACACCTGTTTTGTACATGTAAGGTTTGAACCACTCACACCGGGAAGGTCCCCTACTCTTTTCGATAAGTGCGGTGGGTTCTTTAACGTGCATGGGGTGTGGCTCTCCCAAACATGGGACCTCCATTTAACGTCCTATCCGAGGGACGTCCCCAACCGAAACTAGGTACTCATTTCCACCTGAGTGAAGTGAAAATGTGTTCTGCCACCATGTATAACACGTGCCTGGGTATTCTTGTGCCACCTCCCTTCTTAGTACATATCCAAGCCAACAATCTTGGTAAATCTTTTACAACCAGTTCTGTAGGTAGCAGTAAACGGTAATAATGAGCGCAATCAAAAGGTAGCATGAGGTAGATATACAGAGATAGACGAGGTAATAGTGCGCACGCCTGCATGTGTTCTTTTTTTTTTTTTGGATTCCAACATGTAATCACCAGACGTGGTGACAGTACACTCAAGTGTTGTCAACTTATATTAATGCCGCCACCAACACAGGGGACAATACATGACAGGACAATACTCATTGTCACCTAAGCGAAGTGAGGAAAGCCGTGTAAAGTGTCTTTCCCAAGGGCACAAGATCGGTGGCATGTCAGGACTCAAACCCGGGACCTCTTGGTTTCGAGTCGAGCACTCTGCCGCTCCGCCAAACAACCCCACAAATTGTTCTGCCACCGCCAGGTCCCCCACCCAGAGGAGGCGGCCGCCCAAGTCCCGGATGTTCCGCCCTGCCGAAGTGCACACTGGGAGAAGTCACGTGAGCGTGCGGCTGACCCCGGGTGACCTGGAGGGGCTGGGTGCGGTGTTGCTGACCCTGGTGACCTTGGCGGTGTGTTCGGCTTTGATCTTGCCGCTGATGCGGACCGGGGTGCGGACAGTGATGAGTTCCACCGCTGCACAGGCGATGTCCGGCCCGGAGTGTACAGTAAGTATCACTCACTCACTCACTCATTCACTCACCCACTCACTCACCCACTCACTCACTCACTCACTCACTCACTCACTCACTCACTCACTCACACACACTCTCGCCCACTCACTCACTCACGCACTCACTCACTCATACACTCACTCACTCCTCACTCACTCACTCACTCACACTCTCACCCACTCACTCACTCACTCACACACTCACTCACTCACACACTCACTCACTCACTCACTCACTCCTCACTCACTCACTCACTCACTAACCCACACACACACACTCACACACACACTCACTCACTCACTCACTCACACACTCACTCATACACTCACTCACTCACTCACTCACCCACCCACTCACACTCTCACCCACTCACTCACTCACTCACTCACTCACTAACCCACTCACTCACTGGGTGAAGCTTCCCTCGGTTCCAGTAAGTATACAATCATGAAAGTTCATCTGTGTTGGTAGTTAAACGTTGGTCGACGTTGGCGACGGGGGCCGACATTGTCTACCAGATACCTTTGACCCAGTGTTGACGTCACACTTGAAAAAAAAAAAAACTTTGTGGATGTCAACTTTTCTCCACTTTTTTTCCAAAGACATTTCGTGTTTCGGGTATTTCGTGCCCGACGCCTTTCAGAGAAACAGACAGACAAACCCGTAGCAACCGATCACTTCTCGTTCCTTATTACAGTTATATCATCTCTACTCATTCTCCGCCGCCTATGTTAACGTCCCCTAGCATTTATTCACATGTCAAGTCGCAATCAACTTTCATTCATCTGATAATAGATAGATAGTAGTAGTTGTAGTATTAGGCATCCTACCATCATCATATACATCATAATAGATAGATACACGGATAGAAAAAGTGTCGGGTCTGTCCTTGGCCAGCTAATGTGGACAGATATCACCACGTTTTCTGTTTATGCAATATTTAAGGGTTAATGTCCCGCCCCGAGGTGAATATGGTGTGATAAAGCCTTGTCAGTTGCTATAACCACAGAATAAAGCCACCAAGTGAGCGCAGCGAACGAGGTGGCTTTATGAGGTGGTTATAGCAACTGACAAGGCTTTATCACACCATATTCACCGAGAAAGGGCGGGACATTAACACTATTATCATATAGCTTACACGATAGTCTATCCAAACTGATGCAGTAAGTGATACAATGCACATGCTGAATAGAACATAGAACATAGTTCCCTCTGGAGTCAACTGAGGTCACTGGGTAGAGTTCACATTCTATGTCTTCTATCTGGGTCACAGGCAGGGAACAGGTGTTCTTATGGGAGTCACCCGAGGTCATTGGAACACAACTTAAGTTATTTTTTGATTTTTTAGAACTAGAGCCCTGTTCTGCGGGTGATTATTTGGGTTGTTTAATGTATGGATTGGGATGAATAAATACCCGGTTTTGACTCTATTTGTGACATTACGGCGTCATAAGGAATGTGGAATGGAGCCTTCTGATTGGTCAACGTCACCCGGCTATATGATAATATGAAATAACCACGGTGAAGATAAATACATGTATATTCATGCCGTGGAGGTAATTTAAGAAAAACTCAATCATAAGGATAAAAATAATAATTACTTATTCTATTGATGCATTATTATTGAAGATGAATGTATACCCGTAGCGCGGGGCTATTATAAAGGACCCTTTGGCCGATCGCATAAGTTAATTCCATAATTATCGAAGCACAATCTCCACCGCCTACGCTACTGTCCCCCTGGCATCCATGCTCACCTCAGGTATCATTTTGAAATCAACTTTTATTCATCTAAAAAAATCAGCAGATACACGTGTAGAAAAACGTGTCGGGTCTGTCCTTGGCCAGGTAATGCTGACGGATATCAACACGTTTTCTGTTTATGCAATGTTATGAAATAACCACGGTATAGATAAATATATTCATAGCGTGGGGGTAAAGAAAAACTCAATCATAAGGATAAAAATAATAATCACTTATTCTATTGATGCATCGATATTGAATAACCACGTTGTAGATGAATGCACAACCCGTAGCTGGGGGCTTCTCTCTTTTTGGTTTCAAAAAGAGAGAAGAAAGGGCAACTAACAGTAGATGATAGGTAGTATATAGTATTGTTGTAATGTATAGATTCTTAGCACTTTGCATTAGAATACTATATAGCGTTTCAGTATGAAATGCTCATGTTTTTGCATACTGCATACCCTCTTGTGCATTTAGCCCATCTGGGCAAGAACATGCAATAAAGATTCATATCATATCATATAAAGGACCCTTTGGCCGATCGCATAATTCCATAATCATCGAAGCACAAGCCCCACCTCCCACGCTAATATCTCCTGGCATCCATGCTCACTCCAGGTAACATTTCGCAATCAACTTTTATTCATCTAAAAAAAATCAGCAGATACACGTGTAGAAAAATGTGTCGGGTCTGTCCTTGGCAGGCTAATTGTGGACGGATATCAACACGTATTCTAGTTATGCATTGTTATGAAATAATCAAGGGGAAGATAAATATACCAGTAGCGTGGGGGTAAAATTCCTTCAGCCTACAGAATAACTCAATCATAAGAATCAAATTAAGTACGTATTCTATTGATACATTACTATAAAAAAATCACGGTGAAGATAATGTCCTACTAGGACTGAGAACCCTTCGGCCGATCGAACAACTCAATTCCATCCTAACAATGAAGATAAGAATAGCTAAGATAAGAGATTTAGTTATTCGATTGGAGCAAGAAATGCGCGGATTATTGGGAATACTAATCAGGTTTGTGTCCGTTGCTCTCTGCTCGGTAGATGCCTTTATACTCAGGAAATCATATCTGAGTGAAGAGGCGTTTATGCTGTTAGCGATAATGTGATTACAATTTGGGGGCAATCGTTGTTTCTATTTATAAATAAATGTTATGCCTTCGCATTGTTCACTATTTCACCGTATTCACTTATGCTATTAGATCATGTATATTTATATGTCATAATTACATCTATGTGATTTCCATGATCGGTGCTAGAAACACTTTATGTTCTCTGTAAGTACCTTTAAGTACTTGGGAGTCTTCCTAGACAGAGTCTTACAGTGGAACGACCACATCTTACATGTAACTAAGAAGTTGTCTCAGGCTATTGGTATCATGAAGGGATTGAAACCATTTATCAATAGAGAAGCCTTAATGACATCCCTTTTTCTCCCCCACTTAAACTACTGCAGTACTGTCTGGGATCAAGGTAGCAAGGGCGGCATCGATAAACTACAGAAACTACAGAACAGGGCGGGGAGGGTGATCCTGGGGTGCGATCACTACACACCTAGTGATACCATACTCCACAGACTTGGCTGGACCCCAGTGATTGAGATGCACAAGAGGAATAAAGCAGTGCTTGTTTACAAGGCCCTACACGACATGTCCCCTCCCCACATCTCAGGTCTGTTCACACAGCTAAGGGAGGTACACACACACAATACACGCCTTAGATCACAGGGTGGGCTACAACTGCCAAAAGCTCAACTTCAATATAAAAAGAAATCCCTCTCTTGTACTGGTGCCACATTATGGAACTCACTCCCACCTCAATTAAAAAGAGCAGATTCTGTTTCTTCCTTTAAGCGCCTTTACAACCAGGAGTGTGTTGCCACATCATAACTTGTTATCAAACAGCATTGATATGCAAATTCCTTTGTTATATTCCTTTGTTATTTCCTTGATTTGTTTTTGTATTATTGCCTTATTTACTATGAGTTGTGGCTCTTGGTTTGACAAGTTTGTTTTATTACCACCTTACTGAATTGCGGCATTATATAGTACTTTTATTTTTATTTGTACTAAGTTGACTTTAATTTGTACTTATAAGTTGACTTATGATTTTGTTATATCTGTTATTTTCTTGTATATTTTATTTATGTATGCCTGCAGGGCACATTGAAAAACGCCTTAGTGGCGATATGTACACCCTGGGTAAACAAATAAAAACAAACAAACAAACAAGTGTTGAGGCATGTTACGTGTGTATTTTGTGTATCTGTGTGGTGACTGTCTGTGTTACCGCTATGCAGTTTCTGTATGTTCCGCTAAAAGGCGCTCAGGCGACAACGTCTGCTATCTTGTGATTGCCTTGAGATAGAAAACAATCTTACTACTAAAACTAGAGATTCTGAAGTAACATTTGCAAAGTAAATGCATAATGTTTACCTTCAGACATGGTCTGCTCTGTTAATTTTTACTCAAACATATTCACATACATTGTACTGCTAGTATATGGTGACAGGAGCAGAGCAGACCATGAAATTGCAACATTATGTAACCCAACACCAGTCACCATGGTGACAGACGTCAACAAATCATGTCATTGGTCAGGTCAGAGGTTAGTGTTTGGAGAAGAAGAAGAGGAAGAAACTGAGTAAAAACAATATGTTTTCCTTCGTTAAACATAATGAAAGAACACACATATCATAGACGAAGTGGGTAAATTCGTCTCACACTGCCTTTAAGGAAGAAGTCAAACCTAACAAAACCACGTATGTCGTAGAATTAAGGTAGTATGACTTTGTACATAGTCCCCCGTATCATTGTATTTTCTTTTTTCATCCATGTTACTTGTATTTTCAATTAGCCCTCGGGGATGTATTTGCAATAAACTCTCTAGTTATTTTCGAAGCAAGCTGCTGTATACATGTATGTTCAATGACAATGCAAGGTAGATTTTATTAATTGCCACTGAACTGAACTGTTTTCCTCTGATTGTTCTTAGACACCAGACCTCCCACCAGCGGACGCCGTGCCTGCGGTGACGGGGCTGGACGGGGCACCAGCGGACGCCGTGCCTGCGGTGACGGGGCTGGACGGGGCACCAGCGGACGCCGTAACTGCGGTGACGGAGCTGGACGGGGCACCAGACCTCCTACCAGCGGACGCCGTGCCCGAGGTTACGGGGCTGGACGGGGCACCAGCGGACGCCGTGCCTGCGGTGATGGCGCTGGACGGGGCACCAGCGGACGCCGTGCCTGTGGTGACGGGGCTGGACGGGGCACCAGCGGACGCCGTGCCTGTGGTCACGGGGCCGGACGGGGCACCAGCGGACGCCGTGCCTGCGGTTACGGGGCCGGACGCACCAGCGGACGCCGTGCCTACGGTTACGGGGCTGGACGGAGTTTCCGCGGACGCCATGCCTGTGGTGACCGGGCTGGACGGAGTCTCCAGGCCGCTGGTCCGGTTCGTGGGATGGGAGCCTCACCCTGAAGACAGGCCGAGCATCGACACCTTACTGTCCCGGGACAGATATCTGCTGCACGGTCTACATGGCGAGAAGTCGGAGAACTGTGTGTTAGCCACCAACAGGCCTGCATAAGAGGTTACTACGGGATAGCCTACAGCAGGCCTTCCTAAGGGGTTAGGGATAGTAGAAATCTGCTGTACAGTCAAGATGGGGAGAACTGAGTGTTAGCCTCCAACAGGCCTTCATAAGGGGTTAACGTTAGAGAATAATAAAACCCTGTAAAGTACAGAACCTAGCCTCCACCTTTAACATTTTCCCGGGACAGATACCTTATGTGCGGTCTACATGGCGAGAACTACAGGATAGCCTAAGACAGGCTTTCCCAAGGGGTGATACATAGCAGAATTCTCTTCCTAGCCTCCAACAGGCCATCCTAAGGGGTTATAGATAATAGAATATCTGTACCTAGTCTCCAACAGGCCTTCATAAGGGGTCAGGGACAGCAGAAATCTGCGGTACAGTCTACATGGAGGGATAGAACTGTGTGTGTTAGCCTCCAACAGCCCTTCCTAAGGGGTTATAGATTGCAGAAGTCTGTACCTAGCCTCCAACAGGCTTTCCTAAGGGGTTATAGATAGTAGAAATCTGTACCTAGCCTTTACCAGACCTTCCTAAGGAGTTAGGAATCGTAGAATGTGGCATAAATGGAGCCAATGGAGTGGGCCCTTGGAAAGAGTAACATTTCCAAAATATTAATGCAAATGCAGACTCTCCTGTAAAATGGTTAGCGTTTACAAAACAATAAATCAGAGCCTTGTATTGTCTCCTCTCTTCATGTTTATCTTCCATCCAACTTCCGGCATTGCAACGGACGTCTTTGCCCATTTTCGGCATGATGACCACTGTCAGGGGGCAAGTAAGTTACTTTTTTTCCACAATTAGGCAAAAATTAATGCGCGTGCTGATGTCATCCATAAGAATTACTTGCTGTGGCCTTATTAGTCCAGGAGGAGAAGCCTGAAAAACGTCGTGTCGTAGCACACCCCTTATATACTTTGGCCAGTACCATAGAATGATACCTTAATGTCCCCTGATCATTTTAAGGTCTCGGACCGACCGGAGTTTCCTTCCGTATTTCGAGCAATTTGACACCCTCAGCCCGACGGGCTGTCCGTCATTTCTGTACTAAACGCGGGTCGGAATTTTTCACTCTTTTGGTGGAAAGGGGTGCCGTGCCGCATATCAATACACTTATATTTTAATAATTGATATTTTGTGCGCCCAATTTTTTAGGGGTAAATAAGGCACATCAAAGTACATTTTTAAATAAGGGGTCATTTTTTTCGTCATTTTTAACCATGGCTGCATGGACAAAACGAATTTTCCCAGGGTAACGGCTTAGTACTCGAAGAAGCTCAGAACCTAATGTTTCCAAAATTTAAATTTAATCAAAATCGATGCGATACGTTTACCGCTATCTTTGATGGCCCGAACGCACCCACAACGCATATAGAACGCACCATCCCGGCGGTCAGGCGAAAAGGCCACATAACCATCCGCGCGGACTAATACCAGGAAGTCTTCGCTGTTAAAATATGTTGATTGTATTTTGTTGAGTGGCGCTATTAAAATAAGTTAAAAACTTGAGTGCATCTTTTGATAAAAAAAAGCATGCAGATATTTTGGTGGCTACAAGCTGTCACAATGTATAACCGCCCTTCGGCGTAACACACCAGCTTCGCAGGCACGCGGCGCGGCGGCAGCTGGCTATATCACACCGAACCTTGTTACACTCAATCTTTGCACATTTAATTGAAGGAGTTGTGTAAAGCTTTCTAGTGATGATGTCCCAACTGTGCTTGGTGGCAACGAGTTCCAGCCTACGATAGTTCTGGGGAAATACGAGTTAAATTTGAACACCTCAATTCTTGGTTGATAACTCTGATATTTGAAGGCATGACATGTACAAGTACAAACAATAGCAGACTTCAGTGGCGCAGACTCTTATTTCGTGTTGACCTACAGTTCAGGATTGGGTTTTGAAGCAGGTGCGAGATTCTCACACTTTTGACATAAAGCCAAGTCAAGTTAATCTTATGTACACAGAGAAGTGTACACATGTAACGTTAGAAATTGTCAGAAAAAAAAAAACAGCTATAGTGTATCTATCTCAACAAATGATGAACACCGTGACGACTTAAAAAATACACTGTATCACTAGCCGTAATACTTCATACTGTTTAATTACAATGTAGTACATGTTCGTTCCCGCAGGAAGATCTTGCCCGAAAAAGTGCAATGGAAGGGAATTGGGGTGTTACATTAAACTTACCTACAATACACACCAGGATGAACTGATGTATCTTAGCGTTGTACTTGGCATCAAATGCATTTCTGTTCTGCATTCTAGGTTTAGTAAAAGTAAAGTAAAGTACGTAAGTAAGTATCCTAGGTTTTGTTTTATCCTTTATTTTCCACACATGTTTATCAAAGATGTACAAAATGGCTTGACTTTCACATTTATCAATTCGCATGAACAATTTACTTAGCTAGAACAGCCAAAGGCAATGACGCAATCAATAATATGTACACAACAGGGCACAGCAGAGGAACAAATAGTAATAGATATTTTATCTGCAAATCAATCAATAGTTCGTGCTTATATAAAACTGCATTTCTCCTGCAAGCCTCTAGTGTCACTGACGAAAGGTAGTGAATGCTACTTGAAACGTCTGACCGTTGCCAAAATCATATCCAGTTGCTTGAGCGACTGTTTTTGGAGTATTTCGGATTGTACGTGCAACCTTCAGTCTACGGTGACTAGTCTACGATCCACACTGACGATGCTGCCCGCCATTTTCTCAGTCTCCCTCCTGTTGGTGATAACCAGCGCTGCTGCCGGCCCTCCCACCACCTTCGTCTGGCCCACCAAAACCACCAGCCCGACTCTGCCCACCAAAACCACCAGCCCGACTCTGCCCACCAAAACCACCAGCCCGACTCTGCCCTGTCGGGACTACCTGAGGTTTACCTGCCCGCACCTGAACTGTCCGGACGCCGTGCCTCACAACTACGCCAGATGTCTGTGCGGGTACTGTCCTAACGGTAAGGGTAACGAACGAACGAATGAATGAGAGTGCACTGGTGGAAGTTTGCTAACGTTTCTGTAATCCACGTTTACAACAGAGAAACACGTCTTCTTTAATTATCTTACATCTGTGTTGGTAGTAATAATTGTACAATGTTAAACTTTATTCCAACACAAAGACTGCACATGGATCAAATTTTCAACTGTCGCTTTCATCAGGATAATTAATGACCAATCACTTCCTATTGTCTCCTCTAAGCTTGGACGTCGATTCTTTGTGCCAGATTAAATATCTGAGTCAAACGTGTACAGAAACGTATGTTCCGGCAATATATGTTCATATTGAAACTTTTTTTGAAAAGTTACTGTTGCATATTCCGTTGCCATAACGTGCCGTGACTGTTTCCAGGTCCGTTGACCACCGCGCCGACTACCGCACAGAACCCCAACTCAAGCCACGACGGGTATGACAACATATACACAAAGTTACGTTTACCTGAAGTTATTGAGACAAACGTTTCAAGGGAAAGAAGGATTTTCAAGAATATTAAGTAGACGGACCTTAGATCCTTGTTGCATACATGTTAGTCGACTCGGTAGCGGACTTTTTCTCTTTAAAAGCTTAATTGTGGCACTAGACTTATTTGGCCTACTTTTCGTATGATGGCGACAGTGACGTCAGCTCTTCTGTACTTCCCCAGCTCCTGTGCCGAAAACTATGCGAGCCCAGAAGTCGGTGACGTATTCCACTGAGCCCTTGACGATATGGGATTGGTCGGGGACCATGCCCACCGCCGCCCCCAGGACCACCCCCACCACCACCACCATGCATATGGGGACCCGTGGTGGGTATTGTTCGGGTCCACCCCCATGACCATCCTCGTCCCTACAACAACCACAACCCC